GAAAAGGGAGGGAGAGGGGGAATGGTTGAAGGAAGGAAGGAAAGAAGAAGAGGGAAGGAAGGAAGTAAGAAAAGGGGAGGGAAAAAAATGGGAAATGGAGGAAGGAAGGAAGGAATGAAGGAGAGGGAGGGAATGAAAGAAGGAAGGAAGGTAGGGAGGAAGGAAGGAAATGAAAAGGAGGAGAGGGAGGGAAGGAGGGATGAATAAATGAAGGGAGGGGATGAAGGAATGAAAAAGGAGGGAGGGAGGGAATGGATGGATGGAAGGAAGGAATGGAATGGAGGGAGGAAAGGGATGAAGGAAGGAAGGAGGGGAGGGAGGGAGGGAGGGAGGAAAAAATCTGAGGGAAAAAAAAGGAGGAAGGAAGGAAGGAAGGAAAAGGAAGGAAGAAGGAAGGAAGGAAGGAAGGAAGGAAGAAAAGGGAATAAATAGAGAAAAAGGAAGGGAAGAAAATGGAGGGAGGGAATGGATGGAGCAAGGAAGGAAAGGATGGAGGAAAAGAATGAAGGAAAGGGAGGGAAGGAAAAAAGGAGGGAGGAAGTAAGGATATGAAAGGAGGGAGGAAGGGAGAAAGTAAGAAAGAAGGGGAGGGAAGGAGAGAAAAAAAGAAGGAAGGAATGAATGAAAGACGAGGAGGGAAAAAAGAAAGGAAAAAAAGAAAGAAGGGAGGGGATAGAGGAAAGAATGAAGGTAAGAAAGAAAAGGGGGAAAGGGAGAGGAATGGAGGAAGGAAAGAAAAAGAAGAAAATGGATGGAGGATGGAATGAAGGAAGGGGAGGGAAGGAAGAAGGAGATGGAGGAAGGAAGGAGGAAAAAAAGAAGGGATGAAATAGATGAAGGAAGGGAAGGAAAGAAGGGGAGGGAGGGAGGGAGGGAGGGAGAGCGAAAGGAAGGAAGGGAAAATAGGGAGGGAAGGAAGGAAAGAATTAAGGGAGGGGATGGAGGAAGGAAAAGAAAAGGGAGGGAGGGAATGGATGGAGGAAGGAAGGAAATGGATGAAGGAAAGAATTAAGGAAAGGGAAGGAAAGGAGGGGAGGGGAGGAAGAAAGAAAATTAAAGGAGGGGAGGGAGGCAGAAGGATATGAAAGGAGGGGAGGGAAGAAGGAATGAAGGGAGGGAATGAAGGGAGGGAGGAAGGAATGATTGAAGGACGAGGAGGTAGGGAAGGAAAAAAAAATGAAGGGAAGGATAGAGGAAGGAATGAAGGTAAGGAAGAAAAGGGAGGGAGATAATGAAGGAAGGAAGGAAGAAAATGGATGGAGGACGGAATTAAGAAAAAGGGGAGGGAAGAAAGGAAGGGAGGGAGGAAAGAAAAAGGAGGGATGAAATAGATGAAGGAAAGAAGGGGAGGAGGAGAGGGAGGGAGGGAGAGTGAAAGGAAGGAAAGAATGAAGGGAGGGGGATGGAGGAAGGAAGAAAAGGGAGGGAGGGAATGGATGAAGGAAGGAAATGGATGGAGGAAGGAATGAAGGAAGGGGAAGGAAGAAAAGGGGGGTAGGGAATGGATGAAAGAAGGAAGGAAGGAAAGAAGGAGGGAAAATAAGGAAGGAAGAAAAGGGAGGGAAGGAATGGAAGGAGGAAGGACGGAAGGGGAGAAAAGAGAGAGAGGGAGAAAGAGAGAGAGAGGGGGGGGGGTAGAGAGAGAGGGGGGAGGTAGAGAGAGAGAGAGGGGGGGAGGTAGAGAGGAGAGAGGGGTGGTGGTAGAGAGAGAGGGGGGGGGTAGAGAGAGAAAGGGGGGAGGTAGAGAGAGAAATAGGGAGGGAGAAGAGAGAGAGGGAGGGAGGGATGAGAGAGAGAGAGATGGAGGGGGGAGAGAGAGAGAGAATCACAAAGCTGCCGACTGATCTAGACAGGAGAGGCAGAGTAGATCCTCTCTCCTCTGCTCTGCAGTGGAGGATGGGGGGGAAGGGCTAGGAAACTGTCAGAGAAGGCGAGGCATCAGAGACTTGCGAGGGGGGGGGGCTGAGGATCACAGAGGAGGGGGCCCAGGAGGGAAATCCGATGCACAGTCAGGGATGATCAGTGCAGTAGAGGGACAGTGACAACACCGATCCCCCTGCATGGATTTCAACGAGGCAGCTGGAAGTCTCTCCCTCCCACAGCTTTTCAGCTGCTTCATTGAAATTCCCATTCAGGATAGATCGGTGCTGTCACATGTCCCTCCACTGCACCGATCACCTCTGACTTTATTCTGATCATCCATGGGGGAAGGGTGTATGCAGGGTGTGTGCAGTGAACATCCCACACCATGGATGATATGCCTCTCACCTTCCCACTGCCCACCGGCTCCATCACCAGCACAGTGGTCCGGACCCGTCACCCGACTCACTCTGCCACCAGGTGCAGTGACAGGTGAACTACTTCTGGGTCGGGATCTGAGGACTGCCTCCTCCTCCACTCCCCACACTGTCACTGGACAGTGATCCTCTCATGGGCCCCCTACTGACCCCGGGCCCTCGGGCAATTCCTAAATGGTCAGTCCGCCCCTGTACAGGGACAAAATATTTTAATACAAGAAAGGATTTTGCTTGCTTGCAGCTTGGCAATGTATGCTATTATTAAGCTTATGATCCACTAGAGTACTCAGATTCTTCTCTCCCATTGATTCCCCCAGTTGTACTTTAAATCCCAAACCCTATATAATTTAGAAAAATATGTTAAAAAGTAAGGGTCCCAACACTGAACCTTGGGGTACACGACTAATAAACTTAGACCATTCAGAGTATGTATCATTAATCACTACTCTCTGAATACGGTCTTTTAGCCAGTTTTCTATCCATGTACAAACTAATTTTTCCAAACTTATAGACTTTACCTTACACATCAGCCATGTGTGGGGAACTGTGTCAAATGCTTTTGCAAAATCAAAGTATATTACTACATCCACAGCCACTGCTTTTTCTGACTTTTTCTTACCTCCTCATAAAAAGAAATCAGATTTGTTTGACAACTTCTGTCTTTCATGAATCCACATTGTCTGTTGCTTAAAATATTTTTTTCTAGCAAAAAGTCCTCTATGGGGTCTTTTATTAAACTCTTCAGTATCTTCCCAACTGCAGGAGTTAAACTAAAACTGGTCTGTAGTTACTTAGTAAAGACTTTGACCCCTTTTTTAAATGGTCTTTGGTCTAACTACGTTACATAGATTACATAGGCTTACATAGGTTTTCAGATTGAAATATACATGGTGGCCCTTCAAGTTTAATCAAAAGGCAAAAATAAACAAAAATATATAATCTTGTGTCGTGAGAAGAGATGAGAAGGCCTGAAAAAAAATGGAAAAATAGGGAAAAAAAAGGAGTGTGGAATATGCTATTTTTACAATGACAAATAAAACATATCTATGACATGGTATTAGAATACTACAGTATATAGCATGAAGAAACGTACTGAAATATTTCTGAAAGTTTATGTAAAGTCCTAAATTATTGCAAGTTCTCTCAGCTGAAGATAAGAAAATCCTGTAATAAAACTCAAATAAACACTGTACTTCTCAATGCAGTTCTCAAGCAAGAGAAATATGCATTTATGACAATAGGGGGCACTGCAGGAGAAAGGCTCCAGTTTAGTTTGTTGTAGCCTCTCGTATGTACCTCCTACAGCTGGGTGATTGTTGGAATACATTAGAAACAGGGGTGGGCAAACTTTTTGACTTGAGGGCCGCAATGGGTTCATATATTGGACCCGGGGGCCGGACCAAGAGTAGATGAATAATGTGTATGTGTCTTCCATAGTAAGTATAGTAATATTCCCCCATAGTAAGCATAGTAATTCATCCCCCATATAGTAATTCATCCCCCATAGTAATTCATCCCCCATATAGTAATTCATCCCCCATAGTAATTCATCCCCCCCATAGTAATTCATCCCCCTTGGTAATTCATCCCCCATATAGTAATTCATTCCCCCATATAGTAATTCATCCCCCCATATAGTAATTCATCCCCCCTATAGTAATTCATCCCCCATATAGTAATTCATTCCCCCTATAGTAATTCATCCCATTAGTAGTAATTCATCCCCCATAGTAATTCATTCCCCATAGTAATTCATCCCCATATAGTAATTCATCCCCCATAGTAATTCATCCCCATATAGTAATTCATCCCCATAGTAATTCATCCCCCATAGTAATTCATCCCCCATAGTAATATAGTAATTCCCCATATGTAATTTCATCCCCCATATAGTAATTAATCCCCCATATAGTAATTAATCCCCCATATAGTAATTCATCCCCCATATAGTAATTTATCCCCATATAGTAATTCATCCCCCCTACATAGTAATTCATCCTCCATATTAAGTCCCCAAGTCCCCCCTGTGTCAATTCACTTACCTTTGCTCTGCGCGTTCCTCTCGCCGTGTTCCCGCGCCGTTCCGGTGTAGCATGAAAATCTGTCTCCTATGAGGATCTGTCCCCTCGACGTATCTGCGCATGTGCCAGTTTCAGGCATTAGCAGCCGATCGGCGATCTCCGGCACATGCGCAGATACGACGAGGGGGACAGATCCTCATAGGAGACAGATTTTCACGCTACACCGGTTCTTCAGGGCGGACTGTGAGAGGAGCCTAGCTCCCCTCACGTTTGTCACGCTGCCCCCTACACACATCCTGACAGCCATCCTGACAGTATCACGCTCCGCGGGCCGGATTAAAAGGTCCGCCGGGCCATATACGGCCGCGGGCCGTAGTTTGCCCATTGCTGCATTAGAAGATAGTTTCTGTCCTCCTCTAAAGCCTTAATCAACAAGTTAGAGGATAAATCTGACAAAGGAGTTTATCTTTATACCTTTTAAATGATTCCTATTAATGTTCTCCACCATCATTCACAGTATAATGTTTACCTATAGTCTGGTCAGTAAATTGGATTCTTTTCTTAATTTCCTAATCTTCCTAGTTTTGATTTAAAACCAGGTTTTAAAAAAAATTCAGTAACACTGTACATGAGTGAAACATCAGGATGTTTTATGTATTTGCATGTTTTTAATATCTCTCAGGCCTAGAATGGACCCCACCCAAAGGGCGAACTGTGATTGGCACGCTATTTTCCATACAGTTTTACATGTGGACAGCTTTTACTAGCAGGCTTTGCTTATGGGATTCGAGAATGGCGCTGGCTGCAGTTCATTGTTTCTGCCCCATACTATGTCTTCTTCTTGACTTCATGGTAAGAGGTATAAATATGTAACTTTATTAATCATTTGGAAAATAAAACATTTCCTACATTTTTATTTGTTAAATTAGATACTTTGTAGCAGACACTTGGAGAGCAGAGTAAGTGTGGTCTAGATCAGGGCAGGGGCGGACTGACCATTTGGAAAACTTGGGCACTGCCGAGGGCCCGGGGTCAGTAGGGGGCCCCATGATATGCCCCTGGTACCTTTTTCATAGGCTTTTTTGAGTTTGGGCAAGGACACAGGAGCCCCATGATCCCCTATTGCCCGGGGGCCCCATGAGTTGTCAGTCCGCCCCTGGATCAGGGGTCTCCAAACTGTGGCCCACAGGCCGGATGTGACCCTTTCCTGATAGCTCCATGTCAGGATAGCTGGGTATGGGCCCCACTACTTCATGCTTCCAGGACCTAACTCATAAACTTGAGCCCACCTGCAGCCTTGGCGTTCCTGCTTTTTTCCTCCTATGTGCAGGACCGAGGCATGCTTCTCTACCTGTCTGGTCTAAAGGGCTGGATGTCTGTCCATGCCGGTGAGTTTCAGCTGGATGCCGTCCCTGGTATACCGGCTAAATGACCCATTATCCAGGGAGCCCTGCTGCTGGTCCTCGAAGCGTCTTTTTGTATGGCTAACAGCCTTGTCGAGGGTCCGCTGGGTCCATGTGAAGTGGGCAGCGGTGTCAGCAGTATCTCCCCTAGGCTCATGCTCCTGCACAGTGCCCGTGATTGCAGTTAGCAAAGGTTGGGTGAGCTAAATTTAAAAAATGCTTTGTATCCAAATGAATGCTGCATTCCTAGGTATTGTACCCTGAGCTCCTCCAGAAGTAGTACTCTGATAGGCGGCACTGATGAGCAGGCACTGATGAGGCAGCACTGATGATGCTGCACTGATAGGCAGCACTGATGGGCAGCACTGACTGGCGGCACTACTGGGCACTGATGGGTGGCACTGCTGGGCAGCACTGATGGGCACTGGTGGGTGGCACTGCTGGGCACAGGTGGGTGGCACTGCTAGGCACTGCTGGGAACAGGTGAGTGGCACTGATGGGCACAGGTGGGTGGCACTGCTGGGTACTTGGTGGTACTGCTGGGCACTGTGGGTGGCACTGCTAGGCACTGATGATCAGGGCACTGATCATCAGTGCCCGGATGGTCGGTGCTGATCCTTTCTCTGACAATTGTCAGTTATCGGCAGTACTTTCTTCACAATGTGATAGGTGAGGAAAGTGCAGCCGATAACCGGCAACTGCATTTACCGATGATCTACTGTGTCATTGGACACGGCTGATCACATGGTAAAAGGCCGCTGTGATTGGCCTTTTACCACAACACATGATCAACTGTGTCAGTAGGACACAGCAATCATGGAGATCGCCGGTGCGCGCCACCAGGGGCGCATGGGAGGGCATGTTCTGGGAGGACTTCATATGACGCCCTCCCAGAACTGGACAACCATGCTGTAGCTGTCATTCGGCTATAGCCCAGTTATCAAGTGGTTAAACAAGTGGCCAATACACTCAAAATAAGTGTTTCCACTCACCCTGTGACCGGGTTATATGTTCTAGCAATGAGCATTCTCATAGCCTTCCCAGGCAAAACAGCCTCTTCAGACTAACAGATGTGGATGAACATGACTATATGGGGTTTATTTACTAAAGCTGGAGAGTCCAAAATCAGACTCCCTTCTGCATAGAAACCAATCAGCTTCTAACCTCAGCTTGTTCAATGAAGCTTTGGCAATGAAACCTGGAAGCTGATTGGTTTCTATGCAGAAGGGAGTCTGATTTTGGACTCTCCAGCTTTAGTAAATAAACCCCTATGAGTCTTGCTTTGTTTATGCAACCAGAAATGAGGATGATGACACCTAACAGGTTGCCACATTCATTAAACAAGTGGCCAATACATTCAAAAGAAGTGGTTTCCACTAACCCTATGAAAGGATTACCGTATTTTCCGGCGTATAAGACGACTGGGCGTATAAGACGACCCCCTACTTTTCCTGCTAAAATGTAGTGTTTGGGCTATACTCGCCGTATAAGACTACCCCTCTTCCAATTCACACCAAATAAAAATGAAAAAACATCAGATTTGATTTCAATATGGTATGCTATTTCAGTATGTTATTCCAATGTTGGGGTGCTATTCCTCCCACTGACACCAATGATGGGGCACGATTCCTCCCACTGATACCAATGATGAGGCACTACTCCTCCCACTGACACCAATGATGGGGCACTATTCCTCACACTGATACCAATGATGGAACACTATTCCTCCCACTGACACCAATGATGGTGCCCCATCATTAGTGTCAGTGTGTGAGGAATAGTGTCCCATCATTAGTGTCAGTGGGAGGAATAGTGCTCCATCATTGGTATCAGTGGGGAGAATAGTGCCCCATCATTGGTGTCAGTGGGGAGAATAGTGCCCCATCATTGGTATCAGTGGGAGGAATAGTGTCCCATCATTAGTGTCAGTGGGAGGAATAGTGCTCCATCGTTGGTATCAGTGGGGAGAATAGTGCCCCATCATTGGTGTCAGTGGGGGAGGAATAGTGCCCCATCGTTGGTGTCAGTGGAGGAGGAATAGTGCCCCATCGTTGGTGTAAGTGGAGGAGGAATAGTGCCCCATCGTTGGTGTCAGTGGGGGGAGGAACAGTGCCTCATCGTTGGTGTCAGTGGAGGAGGAATAGTGCCCCATCGTTGGTGTCAGTGGAGGAGGAATAGTGCCCCATCGTTGGTGTCAGTGGAGGAGGAATAGTGCCCCATCGTTGGTGTCAGTGGAGGAGGAATAGTGCCCCATCGTTGGTGTCAGTGGAGGAGGAATAGTGTCCCATCGTTGGTGTCAGTGGAGGAGGAATAGTGCCCCATCGTTGGTGTCAGTGGAGGAGGAATAGTGCCCCATCGTTGGTGTCAGTGGAGGAGGAATAGTGCCCCATCGTTGGTGTAAGTGGGGGGAGGAACAGTGCCCCATCGTTAGTGTCAGTGGGGGAGGAACAGTGCCTCATCGTTGGTGTCAGTGTGGAGGAGAAATAGTGCCCCGTCGTTAGTGTCAGTGGGGGAGAGGAGCGGCTGCTCCTTCTTTCCGTTCGGCCGCTCGATTTTCGCGGGGCCGCTCGGCTCCGCCTCCTCGCCAGTGATTGGTCGCCTGTGTGCCTTTCCAGTGCTGGCGACCAATCACCGGTGAGGAGGCGGAACCGAGCGGCCGCGCGACCATCGAGCGGCCGAACTGAAAGAAGGTGCAGCGACGCTTCCTGGACCGGATCGTCGTGGGACCAGGACCGGAGCCAGGTAAGGTACAGCAGCCCCTCTGCCCACCCCTGTACTTAGTGTCCATTGGAGGAGGAGGGGGGGCAGGCGCCGCGCCACCCCTCAAAAAAGTGCTGTCCTGACACCAGCTCGCCGTATACCGGCGTATAAGACGACCCCCGACTTTTCATCAGATTTTTATGGGTTGAAAAGTCGTCTTATACGCCGGAAAATATGGTATATGTTGTGGCAATAAACAGTCTCAAAGCATTCCCAGGCAACTTAGCCCTCTTCAGACTTTATAAAGAGGGAGATGTGGATGAGCATGACTGTATGTATCCTGCTGGTTTAAGCAGCCAGGGATAGAGATGATGACACCTAACAGGATGTCGCATTTAATAAGCACATTGTTAATACACTCTACAGCAGGGGCAGGCAACCTTAAAGAGATGGAGATCTACCTGAACAACAATGAAGAAGTCAAAGATCACCAGGCGCAGTGTCGTCCAGTGTCACCTCCTCACATCTGATTTAAACCTCTAATTGCTGTACTACTGTGTCACAGTTGCATGCAATGCACAGCAATCATGGGTTCAAATCAGGTGGTGAGGAGGAAACATATCACCACCTGTCAAACACACTTAGAGCACTTTACAGAGGAGCAGCAGTGCCTGCTGCACTTGTGAATGCGCCCTTAGTTGCATCCACTAGCGGCACTCTTACGGCTCGTTCACATGTAAAGTTGGGGAGTGGTAAAACCCTGTGGTTGAGTCACAGTTTTACCACCCCAGTCCCTACCCCCAACCAAAGGTGTACACATGCCGCAGCCCCTTGCTCTAAAGGAGTAGTTTCCACTCACACTTTGAAAGGTTTATCTGCTCTGGCAATGAGAAGCCACCTAGCCTCCCGGGCGAAACAGCCTTCTTCAGAGTTTCCAAGGAGGACGATGCAGATGAACATGACTGCACGTATACTGCTTTAGTCAAGCAACCAAGGATAATGATGACAACACCTTACAGGTTGTCACATGAGGCTAACACACTGTAAAGGAGTGTTTCCACTCACCCCGTAAAAGGGTTATCTATTCTATCAATGAGCAGTCAGAAAATCCTCAACGCCAACCGAGGGAATGGCTTGCAGGGGCAGAAGCAAGGAACCTGCAGGAGAGCCACTGTCTTATGACAGCAGGGGGAGATACCGCCCCTCTGGAAATTGCACCCTAGGAAATGCCTTGTTTGCCTTGCAGTAAATACACCACTGGGTCAAGACACTCTAAAGGAGTTGCTGAATTCACCTTCTGCAGGGGCCATCTTTTCTGGCAATGTCCAGTTTTCTTTTCAGGGCCATTAAAACTGGCCTCAGAACTTTCTCAAGCCAATCAATCCTCTTCAGTCCCTTCTGAACAAGATGACGATGACGATCAGAAGATTACCTCTGTCCAGGTTTTTTGATTCCTCCTTTTGTAAGGTTGATGTAATGCCTTTAAATATAAGCAAAGCTGTGAAAGTATTTCAAATGCCTCCAGAGGACTGCTTGATAATTCTCTTCTGGTGACTGAATCAAGTGCTCATTCTACAAGATTGGAGCATGTTGTTACAGCAGGATGTCAAAATTATGCCCAGGGATGGTGTTCAGGGTTTGGAATCACCCCTTTGGTTGATGTGTCCCTTATGAAATTTG